TAGGAACCGGGCTCTACGGGGGCACAACTTCCGAGCCGAATGCTCTTCTTCTCGAAGCATTCTGGTGCTCCGAGATTCGTCTCTTATCACTTGGGAAGTACTAAGGCTTGGGAGGGGTTTAGAGAGAAGTTTATGAGAGAAAGAATGGGAGAGGTGTGAAGGAAATAGAAAATTTGCGCCTCTATTTATAGGCTGGGAAATTGCCTAACTAGGCGAGTTTTGAGCCTCCATCTCATCGTGTTGAGTGCTAAGTCTCACCATCTGGTGGAAAGGAGTGGGGAGGAAGCGATGGTCAGGATTGTTCCACGTGTCACTCACAAATTACTCCAAAAACTAATTATCTTCTAAAATTTGGAACTTTTGCATACGAGCTCCGTTTTTGACGTTCTTTATATCCACGCGTAGGCGTAAACGTGATATACAACTTTCATTTAGACCCCATCAACTAAATTTGAATTTATTTTTAAAGTTATATTTTAACAGGCTTAGACAGTTAAAGTCCGTTAAAAATTTATAACTTTGTCATCCGACGTCCATTTTCGACTGTCTTTATATCGTTGAGCTCCTATTAAGGAGATCTTCAACTATCACTTAGGTTGTGTCAGATAAAAATTGCTCGATCTAACATTTGAATTTTGGGTTTTGCACGACTGTGCTAAATCTTAGAAAAATCATAACTTCGTCATATGAAATCAGATTTGAACGTTCTTTCTATGCATACTCTCAATTTTAATGTATACTAAAACTTTCGTTTATTTCTGTAAGGATAAAAAGTATTTTATCATAAACTCACTTTTTACGATTCCCGATGTCATGTTGGTTTTGCCGTAAAGCTTCGATATGTCATAACTTTTTCGTTATAACTCGGATTTCAGCATTCTTTATATGTTCGGAACCCTTATGACAAATACTATAAATTAGTTAAGATTATTTATTCTAAATATTGTTCTATCGAGAACTAATTTTTTTGACACTTATTGTCTCTAAATTGACTAGTGCAAATATACGGACGTTATACTGGAGGAGGAATATTCGGGTTTTGATCCATATTTTGTTGAATGAGAAATTGGTTGAGTTGTGTGTAATAAGATGAAGTGATACATAGGTTTTGTGTAGGTAATAAATCAAGTGAATATGTGTATTTGTATGTGAGTTAAAATGGAATATATATATATATATATATATACACACACATACACACACACATATATATATATATATATATATATATATATATATATATATAGAGAGAGAGAGAGAGAGAGAGAAACGTGGAGTGGTTCAAATGAGAACAAAAAAGATTAAGAACCTAAGAACCAATTAGTTAATGAAATGCTTGTTAAACACTCAGTGGCAGAAATTGGTTGAGTTGTGTGTAATAAGATGAAGTGATACATAGGTTTTGTGTAGGTAATAAATCAAGTGAATATGTGTATTTGTATGTGAGTTAAAATGGAATATATATATATATATATATATATATATATATATATATATATATATATATATATATATATACATATATATATATATAGAGAGAGAGAGAGAGAAACTTGGAGTGGTTCAAATGAGAACAAAAAAGATTAAGAACCTAAGAACCAATTAGTTAATGAAATGTTTGTTAAACACTGAGTGGCATAAATCATAATTACCTCGGAATACAAGGTCTGCTTTGTATCATATCACCAAAACAAAACAATTACAATTTGGTAATTATACCAAACATATTACCCGACTAATTAATTTGAGAAAACACAGCAAAATCCTAATTCAATTCACGTCTTTTTCAAAACAACAAAAACCCCTATTCTGTCGATTTCAAAAATCAAAAAAATTTCAATTACTTCAATGCGATCATTCACACAAAATTCAAACACAATAGAAATCTAGTCAATATGATGACAAGCGACGTAAAACAAGAGAATTTGAAAAAAAAAATTGAGCGAAAATTCAACTGATGAAGAAACGAATCAAACACAAAAAAATAAAAAAAAACTATGAACATTTTAGTAGAAGAAAAGATAGTCATCGATGAAGGTATGTTATAATTAAAAAATGATGAATTGAATAGACTGTGAAAAAAGAAAAGAATTTAACATAACTTTTAAACTGTGAATATACGTATCCACATACAAACATAAGAATATACGTATACTGATTGATATTATAAATTTAATATTAATTAAAAATTTTAAACATATATATTAAACTATGAATACTGAATTTTAAATGTGTTTAATATATTATTTAAGATGTTAATACACAATAATGATTTAATAAATTGGAATATTAAGTGAGTTTTAAGTTGTGAATGTATGATACATACATAATAATATATCTACATAAACAACTTTCCTGGCTATGAAGTTTCTATTAGTAATGATACCATGTCCTTTAATCTAGCATTGATCATTTCCAATTATCCATTCTTCTCTTGTGTAACAGCCCGGATTCCCAGGTATTATTCATTCTTATATTTTTGGTATTTTGTGAGGAGACTCGGCGAGTTGGAGCTCAAACTCGCCGAGTAGGATCGCGATTTTGGACGCGGGTTCGCGTCTGGACTCGGCGAGTCCAAGGAGTGGACTCGGCGAGTCCACGTTGTTTAATGAAACCCTAATTCTCTGGGTTTGGCGCCTATTTAAAGGCACTTATAGCCTCCCATTGCGGCTACCAGTCCCTTGAGAGAACCCTAAGAGAGCTAATTCGTTTTGGGAGAGAGGAAGTTACTTTTGGGCCTTTGTATTCCTTGTTTAGCAAGAGGAAGGTGGCAAGAGCAAGGAGGAGGTGAGATTCCAACAGATCCAGAGTCCAGAGGCTTCATTTTTAGGTAATGGTTCCAATCTCCTTCAGTTTTAGGGTTGATCTTTAGAGTTAGGGTTTTATAAACCCTTTGGAGAGTGATTATGTGAAGCAAATGGTCCCTCTTCGTGTTTGTGCCTTGGATCTGGACTCAAAGAGGTCCAGAAACCTTAACCATTGGAGCTTTTTGGGTTATTATGGAGTCATTGGACCTAGGTGGTTATTTTTGTGACCAAATCTCCTTTTGATGCCTTGTGGGGGTTATACAAGCATCATGTTTCGAACTTTACGTGACATTCATGCTTGGGCAGGCCGGATCTATGGTTTGGGAAAGCAGATCTGACCTCAGAAGGTCAATAGAGTTTGTGCATGGGATGAACTCGCCGAGTTGTTCTTGAGACTCGGCGAGTAGGGTTGGGGTTTCACGTAAAGTGTTCAGCGAGTAGACTCGCCGGGTTGGGGGATAACCCAGTGAGTCAGGGAGAGTCAATATGGGGCTTAGTCAAGTCGGAACTCGCCGAGTTGTTCTTGAGACTCGGCGAGTTGAGTCGTGGTTGCCCCGCGATTCATGCCAGGTGGAACTCATCGAGTTAGGGAAGTACTCGACGTGCCAAGAGAGGATCCGAGGGAGTCAGTGAACGCGTATAGACTCGCCGAGTCCGGTCAAAGTTGACCGTTGACCAGAGTTGACCAGTGTTGACTTGATAGGGTTAGTCAACCTTAGTTGTAAAAGTGTTAATTAGAGATATATTGTATTATAGGATGATTATAGCTCGGGGGATCGAGCACGAGTGATTTTAGGGATTTACGAGTTATCGAGATACACGAGGTGAGTCTTCTCACTATACTTTACCTTGAGTAGGTAAGAAGAGTTATGTGATACAGCGCTTGTATGCTATATATGTGTTATGTGTTGCGCTGCATTATTCTATGTAATTTATGCTGTGCATGTTTACAGAGTTAGAACCTGAGGGTTCACAGAGTTTGGGTGCACGGACCCACAGAGTTATAGCCTCGAGTGGCTAATATGTGTTATATGTGGTATTTTGGGGAACTCACTAAGCTTTGTGCTTACATTGTTTGGTGTTATTTGTTTCAGGTACTAGTAACGACCGTGGGAAGGCGCCGGCTTGATCAGTACACACACACACGGGATTTTATGTTATGAGATCTTGGGATTTTTGTATGACATGGATTAAATTTCAAACATGGGTGTTTTTATGAATATTAAATGAATTATGTTTTTATAAAATGAGAAAAATTGTTTTGAAATTTACGGTGTTACATCTTGGTTCCACGATTCGATAAAAAACACACAAAAAATTGCACACTGGTTGCTGATTGAAGAAGGACTGTCCTTGGTTCATGTAGATACGTGTAGAGATGATCATACTTTTAATCACAAAGTTCATACAAACATAAGAAGATATGGATATTGATTGATATTATAATTTTAATATTCATTAGAAAATTTGACATATATATTAAACTCTCAATACTGAATTTTAAATGTGTTTAAGACATTCTTTAAGATGTGAATACTGAATAATAATTTTATAAATTGGAAAATGATATATACATAATACATATGTATGTATGGACGTATGTACGTACATACATAAGTATATTCACGGTTTAAATGTACGTACATGTATGTATGTATGTATATGTGTATGTATGTATGTATGTAAATACATGCATATGTACGTAAATACATACGTATGTATGTATGTATGTATGTATGTATAAACGTACATAAATACATGAATATGTATGTATGTATATATATATATATATACATATGTATGTATGTATGTATGTATGTACATGTATCACTGGATACCATTTCATCGGTTATAGGACATTTTGTTGTTGAAAGATATAACCCAAATTCAAACTGCATTGATTTAGGGGACATACAACTGAGAATCAATGAAGATAAAACTCATCATATACTTGGAATACCAAAAACAAGCATATATTTATCTACTGTTAATGAGTTATGAGTGTGAGGAAGACAATATGATGATTGTCTAATGGAAACAACATCCTGATGTAACAAAATCACAACAAACTCTTTATGAACTTATAGAAGCCTCAGAAGTTGAAAATGAAATGTTTATATTATATTTCATTACATTGTTGTGAATACAATTATAGAGATAAAATCTTGTGGAGGTTTACAAACAAGCATTACAATGAAGATGGCAACAATTGAAGACTGGAAAAGTATAAACTGGTGCAAATATCTCAATAATGTGTTGCCACATAATAGAATTTCATGGAACCCTAGGAACAACGACATCTACTATGCTGGACCACTTCCGTTCTTGCTTGTAAGTAAAATTTAAATTAAATTGAATTGGACATCATCAAAGTGATTAAAATAAATAACATTTTAATTTGTTACCAAATAATTTGCAGCTTCTCTATCTACATTCAAGTGATTGTCAAAACAAATACATCAGCCGAAAAATAAGACCAATATGCTACTGGAATTATGGAAAAATTAAATCAAGGCAAAACATTGAAAAAGCACAACGTCCGTTAGGATTGGTTATATTGGTTGAAGATGTTGATTTGATACAATATAAAGATGAAGAAGATGTTTACTTGATTGAAGAAAAAGGAAAAGGAAAACAAGTTGAAGAGTATTCATATTCAGAAGAGAATGATCAAATTGGTGCAGAGGTAACAATTGATATTACAATATTAAGTTGTAAATTGGATGTCAACCTATGAATATTTTTTATAAAATTTTTAGTATACATTGACAATAATTGAATAAATTCTAGATAATTAAATAGTCAAATAATAAAAATTAAATATACAAAAAGTAATGATTAGGTTGTGAATTTAAGTACTGAAAATGAATTGATTGTTAAAATTTAAATTATTAAACTATGAATAGATTTTTAATATGTGGATATAAAACATAACACATGATAACACATAAACATAATAGGAAGTAGAAAAGTAGATAATTATCACAATGACAATCATCTCAACTATAGTCAACTACTAATGGGTTAGCCTTGGTGTCTTAGACACCACTTCTACTGCAAGGTAACTCACCTCACACTGCTGAAGTCCCATAGACATAACCCCCAACTGCTGGATGACAGATTCCCGAACTGTCAATATCAAAACATCACCCAATTAATAATTGGGTTCCAACACAGCCATAAATACATACTTGGGTGTAAATACTACTTTACCCCTAACTTAGCTTTATTCAAACCCAAGACCCAATCCAAGGCCCAAAAGTCAGCTATGAGTCAAAGCCCAACATATGGCCCAAATTTCCAAATTGGATCCAAACCTATACAAGGTCTTACCATAAGGCTCAACCATTTGTTCCAGTCTAACATTCAACATTCTAATGACTCAATATCACATAATCATAAAGGTACAAACTATGGCCCATCTATAGCCCACTTTACTAAATTGGGCCCAACTCCTCATATGGGCCTTACCTCGAAGCCCATTAATTACTCTAATCCATTTGCTTGATATTGGATGGCCCATTGATAACCCAATCATCAAGGTCCAATAGAAACTAGAAAGGCCACATAATAAATCCAATCATCAAGGCCCAATAGAAAGGCTCAACAATAAACCCAAATGAAATTAGGGTTTCACACAAAATGTCAGTTAGTATTAAGTGTTTCACACTTTACCCATTAAGGACTTAATTCATTAAGCCATCATTCTTCTAATTAAATCATATGGTGTGATTGAGCTTAATACACAATTCAATTCCAATGGCCCAAATGTGGGTGCTGATAAGTCCAAGCCCATAAATCCAATATTAGGGTTTTCTAAACCCTAATTAGAGTTTCAAACCCCATCTTAGCCCGATAGGCCCAAAGTTAGGTCATTTGATCACTTAAGGTTCATTAGGCCCATTAGGGTTTCACTATGCCCATAAGTCATCTGTTTCGACTTTTAGGTCCATCAAGATTCATTGGGCCATTAGGGTTTATTAGGCCCATTAAGCCTCATTGGGCCCATTAGGGTTTATTAGTCATTTTTTCCAAACATCCAAACAAGTCACGATCCAACAAGGCACAACGCCACCCGACGCGGCGTCGGGTGGCAGCTACGGTGGTGGTTTTTGTTTTCTTTTCATTAATCCATTTCTAATTACATTTTACAAGGATAAATCTCAAGTAAACACACACCCACTCATAAGATAAACACACACATGGCGGCAGCCACCACCTCACGGTGGTGGTAGTGGCGGTTCTCAGTTTTCCAGCTACACCAAACACACATCCACACACTTAAGGCTGCACTTTACACTCCAGCCACCCACCTGGTGGCTCAGGGAGGTGGTAGTGGCATCAGAAAATAGCAGCAACGGCGTTGACGGTGACAACCGCCACGGAGGCTCTTCACAGGTTTTACTGGACAAACGAGACTTCACAATCGAGCAATAACCACAACCCACCCCATACTTGCGACCCAGGAGATGAAGCACACCAAAACAGCCTCTTCAGGTTGGCGGATGACGACTGGAACAGTGGGAGAAGAACTAAACGACGGCGGTAGTCATGACCACATGAAGTACCAAAGATCCGAGAAGAAAGAATGAAGCGAGCAACAATAGCAGCAGCGACAGAGGAGGGCGTTCGTTCCATCTTCGTCTTCTTCATGGAGGGGAGCAGCAACAACAACCCCCGATCATTCCAGGCCTTGCATCAGTGGTTCACAACTCATCCTCGGTGAGTAACAATTCTTCTTCGTCTGTTCGTGACTTTTCTGGCAGCGAGATTGTAGTGGCGGTGCTCGGACTCGACTAGGCGGCAGCCGGTGATGGGAGATACAAGGTTGGCGGCTGAAGGAGAAGGAGGGTTGAGAGGGTGGCAGCTGTAAACACAGCTAGGGTTAAGGTTACACAATGGGTTATATACCCGATCACCAATCTAACTTATTGCCATAATGGCATAACCAGTCCCTGACCATAAAATTCTTTCCAAGTATGTTCCAAAATTTACCATTTGAACCCTGCCTCCCGAATCCTTTACAAATGAAGTTCAAATTTTACCTTTTTAACCCCAGCCAACCAAAAACCCTTCAACTTAAGTCCTTATAATTACCATGCAGCCCCTCCTCTATAATTATTTTAAGATAAGATCCATAATTAACTCTTTAGCCCTTGTTTTCATAAATCCTTTCATATTAGGTCTCATACTTACCAGACAGCCCCCCCCCCCCCCCCCGCATCTTCTAAAATATTTACAAAATAAATCTCGAATTTATACTTTGACCCTCGAATAATCAATCTTATGGCGTTTGGCTTCCTAAAATCAATACCTTGCTATATAATTATAATTTTAGGGCTATGATTCATTCAGTAATTTCGTCTATTTATTTATGAAATAAACGGTGTGTTACACATTAATATTAGGCTCACAACGTGAACAATAATTATTCACGACATGAAAACTAGGCAGTCAAAAAATGATCCTGCCTTCATATATTGTCTTCAACCCAATGTCTTAATTGAATAAGACCTTTCGAATGCAACATAGTATGACTCTTTTCTCTAAATATAGCATCTCTTTTGGCTCACCCCACACTTATTTAAAATTGTGGGTCTCGACTCTAAACTCTAAATGACGCTTGGCTAGACGTAAATGCTCTCATCTCGACTTTCCTTCCTGTGACTTTTTAGCAAATCTGGAAATTAACAACCAAAAGAAATAGAAAAGTAACATAATAACTTAAAGAGTCTTACAAACAAAATAAAGTCACGTTTCAAAAACAACTAAAAACTAAAAAAATAAATAAAATAAAGTGATCAATCGTCATCTTTATCTTGTTGTGTTCCACTCATTCCTGCTCCATCGCCCCTCGATATCCATAGTTCTTCCCATGTCGGGATATACGGAGACTGAGGTGGCATGGTGGGTGGTCGTAACACATTCATATGAGAGAACATGGTGTCAAGGATTTGAGTGTTGTAAGTCATCCAACCGCGAAGAATATCTAAATAAAAACCAACCCGACATTGCAACGGGTTGGTGGGTACTCCACCTGCATATTGTTACTCCATTCTACGATCTCTCCATGTCTCCCCGGGCTCTCACATTTTTTCTCTGGGGCGTTGGTTGAGGTTGTTGCTCGGGTTTCCCATGTTGTTGCTCATCATCCTCCGGGTATGTCATATATCCTCCCCTTACATTCACTAAAACCCTTATAATACCCAAGAATTGAACCGTCAAATCATTTTATGGGAAGCGAGTAAGGTTCCTAGTAAAATTAGGAGACGATCCTGTAAGACCAGGCAAGGCGGGTGACTAAATGTCTACCCGTGATAGGACTCCCGAGCCTAGAACTAGCTACCTTCTTTCCCAAAAAATTCACCAACATATAAGGAATATCATAAAAAATCCCAGGTGTGATGATGCTCCACAAGTAGAACAAATTTTGGATTGGCACCTTGTCTCCATGATGTTTGTGATTGATGGAAAAAGTGATGAGGCGATGCAAAAATTGATGAACGGGACTCCTAATTTGTCCCTCACTTGCATCACGAGGATTATACTCGTGATTCACCATGGTCCTCCAGAATTGGACTTCAAAAGTGCCAGGGGTGAAATCCCGAACACATCCATGCAAGAATGGCACAAAAAATGGTGTTTGCATTTCCATCTCAGTGTATAGACCCATACACCATGCAAACTCACGAAGAGTGCACTCGCGATATACCCCTCCCAACCAGAAAAAAAGCACCCAGTTGTAATCAAAATCAATGGTCCTTTCCTCAAAGCTTACAATAGCAAAAAACTCTACCGACGACTCCCGGTAGACGGGCTCTTAAACAACGAAAAGATTTCTCCAACCATTACAAGTAAATGTAAAACCATCTCCTTGAAACACTTTCATCCACTATCTCTCCAACTCCAAGATCATACCACTCCACGAAGCCAACCCCAATCAATAATAGGTGTTATTGCAAACTCGTGGTTGTATAACCATCCCAACTGATTTTCATAATTGGTCAACAAAGCGCGAGATATGATTTATGGAAATCGGTATAACGGGTGAATGCTAGCAACATGAATTGGATCATTCTCTAGTTGGACTGCTCTTCTAGGACCCATGTTTCTGCAATGACCAAAACCAAAACAAAACAAAGCAAAACACCCAAAATGTCACATTAAAAACAAAGTTGAAAATCTATTCACCCAGGCTTCACAACGTGAACTGGAGTTTCATGTGTGAACCGCAGTCAGGACGTGAATCAGGATCGGGCATTTTACAGTCAAAATCCATCATGTATGGTACTTGGGGATTGTTTATTCTACTAATCTAAGGACATGCATCCCGAAAATACTAACTAATCCAATCAATTTTGGGATTTTTACATCTACATAAACTCTAACCTCTAAAATGCATATAATATGAACAATAGAAACAATTAGCATATGAAATACTTACCAAATGTAGTTAGGAGACAAGAGATGCAAGTAATTTAGAAGAAAAGTAGAAAATCGTATGTGGGGTTCTTTGTCTCCGTTCGTGTGCACAAATGAGTAAACAAATGGGAGTGGGTCAAAGTGTTTACTATAACTGGTCCCCCATCCGTGACTTTTGAAGGTCACGACGTGAATTGCTAATTCACGACGTGAATGGATAGTTGGACTAAAAATATGGGCTTCAAAACTAGGATAAACGATGGCACCCCCATTGATTAATCCAATTCACGACGTGAAGCATATGCCCACGACGTGAATTATGGTCTGGACCAAGTATAATTTAGATAATGATACTTATTTATTCTAATTGTTTACCACCTCATTTCTATAGTACCCATCTAATTTTTACTATTTAAGAAATTTTTTAGATGACGAAATGATCAATTTCCTATACTAAAAATGCAAAAACTAAAATAAAAAGAAAATAAAAGAAAATTCAAACCAAGCTCGGATTGCCTCCCGAGAAGCGCTTCTTTTTGAAGGAGTCGTGAGCTGGACTACGTTCCTCCTACGTTGAATCGACAGAAGAGTACATCACCACCTGAATCTTTTGCTCCTTCTATCGCTTCTTGTAAGCTTGAACTCATCTAATATACGCCTTTTTCAAAATCTATTTTTAGCCTTTTCTCGTCTTCATTAAGCTTTCTTTTGATCCCTTTAGTCTCCAATTTTTCTTCATTTTTTTTAGACTCCATAGGACTTTTTTGTTCTTTGACCACTGGACTCGTCTCCTTAGAAGTTACCTCATCTTCATCATCATCACTTGATATTTTATCGCTTTCCTTGCTTACCTAAGAAGTTGGATTTGTGTAGGTGATGACTTCAACTAAAAACGTGATGGACGCTCTCGGTTTTGTTCTTTTAAATTGTTGAATTGTTTTGATTTCTTCCTCCATGAGCTTCTATAACTCTTCAAGTTCATTCTCTTCATCTATATTGAAAACCTCTCCTCGAACATCACTCCCTTGGAAACCATCTTCTATTCCAAAAGTTTCATTTTCATCTCCTATCCTCAAAGTGAGCTTGGACTCGTGAATATCCACCAAGGCACCAGCAGTATTAAGTAATGGCCGACCAAGGATAATGGGGACATCGGGATCTTCTTTCATATCCATAATCACAAAATCAATTGGGAAAATGAATTTCCCAAATTTTACTATTATGTCTTTTACAATCCCCCTTGGTTGTGTGACTGGACGGTTTGCCATGTGAATTGTCATTTTGGTAGCCTTCATCTTCTGTATATTAAGCTTTTCAAAAAATGAGAAAGGCATCAAATTTATGCTAGCCCCAAAATCGGATAAAGCATAAGTCTTCAGATTGTTCCCAAACTCACATGGAAGAGTGAGGCGTCCACGATCTCCTATCTTCTTTGGTAACTCTCCCAACACTACCCTTAAGCTTTGCTCACTTAAAACCACCTTGGAATTTTTCTTCAACTGTTGACGAGATTCCATTAAATCTTGTAGGAACTTTGCATACTCGGGAATTTTAGCTAACGTCTCAACAAAAGGAGTATTTATAGGAATACCATTTATGTTCTTTATGAATTCCAAATGCTCCCTTTCCAATGGACTAAGATTAGCCCGAGACGAAAACGGTAAAGGCGGACGATAAGCCAGAATGTTTTCTAAAGTTTTTTGTTCAGACTTGGTACACGACGTGAATTGAAGAGGTTCATGTCGTGACTCCAGTATTTCGGCAACATTTTTATTTTCGAGATTTGACTTCTTTGGCTTTGGATCGGATTGCTTTAGCTCCACTTCTAGTGCTTCTAAGAACTCAGAGATTTCCTCTTCTTCATTCTCGATCATCATAACATGGGATTGAGCATTCTTTTAGGGAAATTGTGAGGATAATTTGTTGCTCACCAAAGTAGTTAGTTGTCCAACTTGGACTTCAAGATTATGGATCGATGCTTAATGATTTCTTAATGAAACTTGATGCTCAATCATGATTGTGTGCTGTTCTTTCATCATTTTCTTGTGTTCCTTTAGCATTGCATCAATATCATCATGACTTTTCTCGAAAGCTTCCATAAATCGGGTCGAAATGTTTTCCAAATCTACTTTCTTCTCGGCTGGTGGTTGCTCTTTTTGGTAGAAGCCTCAGCCTGTTTGCTTAAATTTCTCTTCCTTTTGCTTCTTGTATTCAACGTATGGCAGCCACTCCTTCTTTGGGTTTCTTCAGTCTTCATCATACTTATGCCCACTCGAATAACAAACTTGAGCCTTTTATACCTATTATGATCTAAGTTACAATACTTGTTCAAGTGTGGACGATTACACCTTTTGCATCCAACTCTTATGGCATGTACT